GTGTGTATTTGTATCTGTGTGTGCATGGGCGTGTGTGTATTTGTGTGCGTGTATTTGTATCTGTGTGTGCATGGGCGTGTTTGTATTTGTGTGTGTGTATTTGTACTGTATCTGTGTGTGTGCATGAGCGTGTCTGTCTGTGTGTGTGTGCAGGTGTGTGCGTGTTTGTGTATACGTGTGTGTGTGTGTGTGTGTGTGAATACCAACATTTTTTACTAGTGTAGAATCTGAAGCTAGGCAAGGCAAGACAAGGCAAGTTTATTTATATAGCACAATTCATACACAAGGCGATTCAAAGTGCTGAACAAAACAAGAAAGCATTAAAATCATAAATTATCACAGAACATTAAAAAGAAAGATAGAAATATAAAATCCCTCAGTTGTATGCACAGTTAAACAGAACTGTCTTTAACCTGGTTTTAAACATTGTCAGAGAGGAGGCCTGTCTCACATCTTCAGGAAGACTGTTCCAGATTTTAGCAGCATGAATCTGAAAAGCAGCCTCCCCATGTTTAGTTCTGACTCTGGGCACTAACAGGAGTCCAGTCCCTGTGCTCCTCAGAGTCCGGGCTGGTTCATATGGTACTAACATGTCACTAATATATTTTGGTGCGAGGCTATGGAGAGACTTGTACACAAGCAGAGCTGTTTTAAAGTCTATTCTCTGAGCCACAGGAAGCCAGTGCAGAGACTTGAGAACTGGACTAATGTGGTCGTACTTCCTGGTTCTAGTCAGGACTCGAGCTGCTGCATTTTGAATGTACTGCAGCTGTTTTACAGCCTGTTTGGAGAGACCTGTGAGCAGGCCATTGCAGTAGTCTAACCTACTGGAGACAAATGCATGGATAAGAATCTCCAGGTCTGCTTTAGACACTATGTTTTTGATCCTGGCAATGTTTTTTAGATGGTAAAAAGCTGCTGATGTTACTGATTTGATGTGGCTATTAAAATTTAAGTCTGAGTCCAGTATTACCCCGAGATTTCTGACCTTGTTTGAAGGTTTTAGGGAGAGAGACTGTAGGTGACAGATGACGCTCTCTCTTTGTTTCTGGGGACCAAAGACAATCATTTCAGTTTTGTCTGCGTTTAGCTGAAGGAAGTTGTTTTGCATCCACTCACTGATCTGTTGGATACAGTGAAGGAGTGAGTCCACTGGTCCATGTTCTCCTGCAGTCAGTGAGACATAGATCTGAGTGTCGTCTGCATAGTTATGATAGGAAACTTCGTTTCTGCGTATTAACTGACCTAACGGCAGCATGTAGAGATTGAACAGAAGAGGTCCCAGGATCGACCCCTGTGGGACTCCACAGGTCAGGGCCATATGATCTGAGACACAGTTTCCAATCTCCACAAAGTACTTCCTGTCTTCAAGGTAAGACCTAAACCAACTTAGGGCGGTGCCAGTGACGCCAACCCAGTCCTCTAGTCTCTGTAAGAGGATCTCATGGTCGACGGTGTCAAAGGCAGCACTTAGATCTAACAAGATTAAGATTGAGACTTTGCCTGTGTCAGTGTTCAGCCGGATATCGTTTGTAACCTTAACGAGAGCAGTCTCAGTGCTGTGGTGGGGTCTAAAGCCGGACTGAAACATATCAAATGAGTTGTTGATTATAAGAAATCTAGTAAGCTGTAGGTAGACAACTTTCTCAAGGACTTTCCCCATAAATGGCAGATTTGAGATGGGACGATAGTTGTTAAGTACCGTAGCATCGAGACTGCTCTTTTTTAGCAGGGGCCTGATGACTGCAGTTTTCAGGGCCTTTGGGAATATTCCAGAATGAAGGGACATGTTTACTATCTGTGTGAGTGAATGTAACAGACTGCTCAGAACAGACTTTAGAAATCTAGTGGGTAGTACATCCAAGCTGCATGTGGAGGAGCTCAAACTGGAGATTATCTCTTGGACAGTTTTATCATTTACAGGTGCAAAGTGAGTTAGCTCAGAGAGCCTTTCTGGCTGTTGGATTGTTATCTGTGGATTGGAGACAATGGCGTTTTTGATGCCTTGAACCTTGTCATTGAAAAAATGAGCAAACTCATTGCATTTACGTTTGGAAGTAAGCTCTAATGGCATTTGAACAGGGGGGTTTGTTAATCTATTAACTGTTGAGAACAGAACACGCAGATTGTTGCTGCAGCCTTCAATCATTTCAGAAAAATACCTTTCTCTCGTACTACGTAGCACCCGGTTAAACTCGCACAACTTATCTTTGAAGATCTCGTAATCAACCTGGAGGTTGGACTTGCGCCACTTCCGCTCGGCCCTCCGGCACTTTCTCTTTTGTGCCCTGACCGAGTCTGCTTTAGCCCACGGCGCCTTCTGCTTATTTTTCACTATTTTAACCTTCACAGGGGCAACGGTATCCAGAACATTCAAAACACTTGAGGTGACAGAGTTAAACAGTTCATCTACAGTAGAATACGATGCATTCTCAAAGTTTATCATTCCCATAAATAGTTCACTCGTATTTTCATTTATGCGCCTTCTTCGAACAGTTTCAGAGTCCACTGGTGGTTTGTTAGTGAAACACATGTCAAAAAAAACACAGAAATGATCCGAAAGAGCAACATCGACCACGTTTACATTTGAAATATTCACCCCCTTTGTAACTAACAGATCTAGAGTGTGCCCTTTGCTGTGGGTGGGGCCACTTACGTGCTGAGTGAGCTATAGAAATGTTCTCCTTCATGTGTCACAGTCCTAACCACACGTGTCATAATATTTTGGATGATACACCATACAACACTCAAAACTTTGAGACGCCCGCAAACTCGCCCCCAAAGAGCCCTATGGCCTCAATCCAGAATCATAATTGTTGAGTTCTCAGTAGAATCCGGCGAGTTAGCAAGACCGCACTTTCAGATCTATGCTACGTCATTAGCGTCTTTTATTGTGGTAAAAACACTGGTTTCAGGATCAGCTTCTGAGTAAGTCCAGTTTCATGGGAACAGGCGGAGCTCAGTCGTTCAGAGACGATTCCGGAAACAGTCTTTGGTGAAGTGTCACTCGCAGAAAAAACAGATACGACGCGGATTTCAGAGACAGATTCCCGTAAATAGAGTCATTCTTCGTCTTCGGGCCGAATAGTGTCGTCACATATTTACATCAAAAAGACATGTTCTCCAAGTCACATGATGCTAACACAAACAGCACGGTCCATGTGTGGGAGACGTGGGACCAAACTAATATTTACAGTCTATGGACCAGACGCTGGACTCTGTTTCAGTTTCTCTCCGCGGTCTTTTCAAGTCACGATTTCAGTCGTTTCTGTGCCTCTCGAGAATGAAAGAGAAAGATCGCTCTCTAACTAAAGCTTGAGGGAATCCATGAAAACACAACTTTGGGCAAATATCACTGTAATTATGTTTAAGCAGAGAAAGGTCAAAAAGTTTAATACGGGACCTTTAAACTTTAAACAGACGGGTTCAAAGTACAGATTATCTAAATCGTTGGAGATTAAAACTTAATGATTTTGCATAACATTTTGCGCAGCAACATTGAAACAACACAAAGAAGAATTTTGGTCTGGATCAGCTGGGGGACTGGTGTGTGTACGTGTGTGTGTGTGTGTGTGTTTGGGTGTGCTACTGTGTTAAATATTACAATGACCTGCAGTAGTTTTCCACCAGTACTTTCCAGAACACATCCTACAATGGCCTCGTATGTTTGTTGACTAAAGGCCTGTTTCCACCGGCCCGACTCGACTTGACTCGACTCAATTCGACTCTCCCCGGTTTGTGGGAGTTTCCACCGGCTTGCTTTAGTCCCTACCCAGTACTTTTTTAGTATTGGCTTGGCACTGGCTCTAGCCGGGCTGAGTAGATACCAAAACAATCTTACATTGGCGAACGTCAATTCTGATTGGTCAGAGACGCTGTCAATCACTCTTCAGCTGCTGCATCAGCTGTTGCGAAAAAACAACACTTTGCGTCGGCCCATAAAAACGTCTGAACGGAAAACAATTCCTTGGTCGCTGGATCCGGTCAACACCTTCCTCAGTTTGAGGAGAGGAAACCATGAGCTTGATGGTTCCACTAGAAATGAGAAAGCGGAGGTAGTGGAGGAGAATGGATATCCACAGACATCATCACAGAGCGGAGAGGACTTAAGGAGCTTAAAAGAGACTGTCTTGAAATGAAAGATCACAACAGCAAAAGTGGACAGAAACAAAAAGTTTGGAGATGGTTTGACCAAATGGATACGATTTACGGACATCAGCTAACACCACTAACACCGGCTAACACCGGCTAACATGCTAAAACCAGCTACACCGGGAGAGAAGCCTCACTCTGCTTTGTGCCAGCTCCAGATGTTGAGTGTGAGAGAAATGGTGAGTGTTTGTCTTCAATCAAATGCAAAAGTATCTGGTCTTGTACTGAACGTGTGTCTGTGGTTCTAAAGTCTTAAAACAGCTTAAGTAATGTTGATGGTATGTGTCCTATCTATATCTTTTATAATAAGCTACGTAGTTAGAGAGTGAATCATGGATTCATGGTTCAATGATAGTCGTTGTGTTATATGCTGAATGCTGGGTTGAAACTTGTAAAACTGCTCTTGGTCAGAGCTTGAAAGCAATCAGGTCTATGGCACTCGGGTTTCTGGCACTCGGGTTTCTCGTGGCATCATCATGCTCATGCTCGTGTCTTCTCCTCAAACTGAGGAATGTGTTGACCGCCTCCAGCGACAGGCGAATTGTTTTCTGCTCGAATGTCTATATAGTTTTCAGCTGGAAACTTGAGGAAACGTGTTGTTTGTTAAGTCTTCGCAACAGCTGACACAGCAGCTGAAGAGTGGTTGACAGTGCTTCTGACTAATCAGAATTGACGTTCGTCGACGTCAGATTGTTTTGGTATCTACTCGGCCCGGTTAGAACCAGGGCAAAGCCGTTGGTGGAAACGCCCGTGAACTAGAGAGGGGAGAGTCAAGTCGAGTTGAGTTGGGTCCGTGGAAACGGCCCTATAGAGAGCAGACAGGAGGACACAGGGACGTCCTACCTGGGATGGGGCCGAGCCGAGCCCTGTCCAGCCGGCGGGACAAAGTGTCTCTATACATGAGGGTCATTGTGAAGACTGTGCGTTCAAGGAAGTGTCCTCACTGCCGGTCCCACAGGCCACACGGTCCCACAGGCCACACGGTCCCACAGGCCACACGGTCCCACAGGCCACACGGTCCCACAGTCCACACAGTCCCACAGTCCACACGGTCCCACAGGCCACACGGTCCCACAGGCCACACGGTCCCACAGTCCACACGGTGCCACAGGCCACACGGTCCCACAGGCCACACGGTCCCACAGGCCACACGGTCCCACAGTCCACACGGTCCCACAGGCCACACGGTCCCACAGGCCACCGTCCAAAAGGCCAGTCTAAAAGGCACCCAGCTTCAGGCACTAGAGGCTTCACTAGAGGCTTCACTCGGGCTGAAACTAGTCCATGGCCACTAAGCGACTCCAAACCCTGTGATTTGGATCCAAGAGACTGTCAGAAGGGTTTATTGCGCAGATAAGGCGAGAATAACTTTCAACTGACACATGCTATCAATAGTTTTGATCAGGTTTAGTATGGGAAGGCAAAACCGGAGATGCTGAAATACAAAATTTTAAAAAGGGGGTACGCACTTTGAAACGGTCATAAACAACTAAAACAAATGTTCCTAGTGTTGAAACCAAGTCTTGAATCCAACTCCAATGATTTTTCTCAATCCTTCAAAGTTCTTGATCTAACATTGATTTGATTCTTTTGGGGTTGCGGAAACAGGCACTAGAGCAGAATGTTGTTTGGAAATGTCTTAGAAAAAGCTGAATTTAGAAGATTTATTGACTTTTTCTCACATATGGCGTTATGCAATCTATGCCAGTTCTATGCACACGTTTTTAAATCCAGAGAAACGATTGAATGTGGTCCGTTTGTGACTTCTTCTGCACACGTTACTTTTAAAAATACACACGTTGTTTGGAGAGGGTTTGTATGATTAGTGATTGCTGTCTGATACTTTTGATCACCTCAGCAGAAGTCTAGTTCTGTTGGTCTTGGTGCATCTGCTGAACACACCTAGAGTCTCGTCCAGGTTATTTGGTCAGATTAATGGACAACTTTGCACATTTCTGAAAGTTTCTGAGAGTTACTAGTTCTAAAAATTGAAGATTTTTGCCACCGGAGACAGAGAACGTACAACTGTGTGGCAGCGACTGTGTGAAATCAAACGTATAGAACAATGCTAGTCTGTTTTCCTGTAGTGAGGCTTCTGTGGACTGTAATATAGAATGAATGTAAGTATTTGCGATTATCTCTATGACCAATTTACAGTCAAATACATGATCTGTCTAATACGCTATCTACATATACTTCTATTGTGACGAGCTTTCTTAATGATGAATCTTTCTGCCATTATTTTTTCTAAACTCTTCCATGATTTTTTGGTAATGTTTTCACTTAAATAACCACAATCATCATATAACTTGAGAACTGCGGCCTGAAGTCAAACATGTCGTAATATCACTGGGCGTGTGTCAAAAATATCTGATAAGACGTTGTTGGTTTCTGTACATTTTGGTATTTTTAAAGTATTGTGACAGCAATAGATTTTGGTTGCATGTTGAGGACCTATCTATGTCACAGTTTTGCAGGTTAGAGTTGACCAACAAAAAACTACCGCTAAGATTGTTTCAGTCTTCTATCCAATATTGAAAGGAATCCAGCAAGTAGCATAAACACACGCACAGAAAAACATGTATATTTTTTTAAGGCCCTACAAGGATTCCAACACACAGCTGTAGGTCCTCGAAGATGGCACAATAAATAGGTCGCAATGATTATCTAAAACGTCATATTGATCTAAAAAGTCTTATTTGTCTAAAGGGTCAGCCCGAGCCGTAAGATTCCACACACTCCAGTCCTCGATTATCAGACTATAGCAACGACTTCTACTCAGTGATCAGCCTCAGTGTGCCTCAGCCGACTGTGGAAAGGCTCTGTGGTTTGTCCTCGGCCCCCGGCTCCGGCTCCTGCTGCCCCCTGGCCCCCCCTCGGCTCCGCGGCGCTCAGACCCACGGCAGGCCCAGCCAGCGCCCGGTGCATCGTTCAGTCCTCTCGCTTCCAGCTCTGTCCATCGACTTTAGGAAGAACACCCGATCAAACGCACAGCTGGACACTGCAGGTGCATATGGGAGAGACATGTGTTTAGATGTGCCGCTAGCATGCAAAACTAGCTTACAGTGACTTAAGATGTGCCACTAGCATACAAAACGAGCTTACAGTGACTTAAGATGTGCCGCTATTTAGGGAATTTAGACATGTCGCTAGCATACGGAAACTAGTATGCAGTGTCTTTAGATGTGGCGCTAGCATACAAAACTAGCATACTGGGACTTTAGACAGGTCGCAGGCATACAGTGACTTTAGATGTGTCATTAGCATACAAAACTAGCATACTGTGACTTTAGATGTGTCGCTAGCATTCAAAACTAGCAGTGACTTTAGATCTGCTGCATCAAATCTAGCATACAGTGTAATGTATGCTAGCTGTATGTGTAATGCCAAGAGTACAACCCTCATAATTCACCAAATATTTCATTAGCCTCTATACCCTCCCTGCTGTCAGACTGCTCAACAAACACTGCCCTGTACGTACACCTGGGAGTGCTCATGATAGTGTGCATTTGGGGCGTTTTCAGAATCCAGGTTCACTTTTATTTATTGTTTTTTATGTTTGAGTGTTGCTCTGGACACCATTTTGTTCTTTCTCGTGACCAAACACATAATAAATGATTGAATTGAATGGATTATAATAACTTCCTGCTCTGCCCACTCCATGGAGCTCCACAGGTTCCTCTCTCTGTCGCTCGGTGATGACTTATGGCCTCAGAAAACCTCTCCCAGACTCTCCAACTGTGTGTGTCTGCTTTTTTAGTGTCTTACTTTATCAATGATTTCCCTCCACACCATGGATGTAACACGGCTGTAGCACCAGGAGAAAATCTGTTGTTCTCTGATGAAGCACAGACGGTAAGTTTGGCCTTTAATGAAGACTTATATCTCCTTAACATGGTTTTCTCTAGAAGCAAGAGAGCAGAGCAGACGCCTGTCCCACTGCCTCCTCTCCCTCATCTCCCCCCCTCTCTCGGTCCTCTCCCCCTCTCTCTCCTCTTCCCCCTCTCTCTCCTCTTCCCCCACTCTCTCCCCTATTCCCCCCTCTCCCTCCTCTCCTTCCTCTCCCGTTTCTCCCTCTTTTCCATCCTTTTCCCCCTCTCCTCCTATCCCTCCTCTTCTCTCTCCTCTCCTTCCTCTCCCTCCTCTCCCTCATCTCCCCCATATCACCCCCTCTCGGTTCTCTCCTACTTTCTCCCCTATTCACTCCTCTCCCTCCTCTCCTTCCTCTCCCTCCTATTCCCTCCTCTCCCCCCTCTCCCTCCTGTCCTTCCTCTCCCGTTTCTCCCTCTTTTCCATTATTTTTCCCCCCTCCTCCCTCTCCTACCTCCTCTCCCCCCTCTCCCCCATCCCTCCTCTTCCCTCTCTCTTCTCCCCCTTCTCGCTCCTCTCCTTCCTCTCCCCCCTTTCCCTCCTCTCCCCTCTTATCCCTCCTCTCCTCCCTCTACACCCTCTCCCTCTCCTCCCTCTCTTTCCTCCTCTCTCTCCTCTCTCTCCTCTCTCCCCCCCTAACACTGCTGCTGTGGTCATTTGTGACCCAGACCCAGATGTACTTGGACAGGTCTCCCCTCATGGCCTCTGGGTTCTCTGGGATTTGCAGATGCTGACTTTTTTAGCATCACGCCTCAGCCAGGGGTCAGGGGTCGGACTCCCTTCGGCCCCGATCTCTGAAGAGAACCAACAAGAGTCTTCCTGGGTACAACTCTGACTCACAGGACTCAAAGGACCCTCTGGAGAACACGGTGGAACGTCTCCAAAGCCACGTTCATATTGGTCTCTGCAGGTCACATGGTTCCAGTCAGTGTCTGTAGCGCTACACTGTGGACTGACAGTTCATTAAAGGTAAATGTGGACTTTATTGTCCCCGTAGGGAAATCTGTCCTCTGCATTTGATCCATCCTGATGCCACTAAGGCTTACGTCAGGAACAGTGGTCGCCGTAGTAAAGCGCCCGGGAACCCATTTACCTTGGTCAGGACTACCGGGCTGGAGGATTTTACCTAATGAGCATATTTTTAGTGGTAGGGGAAATCGGAGCACCCAGAGGAAACCTACAAGACACGGGCAGAACATGCTCAGAAAGGCCCTGTTCCGACCGGCATTCGAACCCGCGACCTTGCTAAGAGGCGAGAGGGCTATCCACTCAGCCGTATACAGGAGGATGTTCTACTTCCAAGTGGACCTTCGAGACTATTGGTCCTCCCAACTGTCAATCATTCTGGTGATACATGCTCGTCCAATAAGACCTGGGAGTTTTGTTCAAAAAGTGGAGAGGGTGGTTCTTTTCCAAAATTTGGGAAAATCCTCCTTTTCAGTGAACATCGGAGAATGCATTTACTGAGACCTGGATTTCAGAAAAACCTGTGGAGCTCTGGTGGTGGTCAGACAGAGCTGGGAAGTACTGGAGACAGCTCTAAATACACAAAAATACTCACTGCTGTTGCGTAGGGTCTAATATATGAGATATGTTTATATATAAATATGTATGGACCTGGCTGTAGTGAAACATCTGCAGAAATAAGAGTGTTGTACTTGCATTCGTATCAGGGGATTGCTCTTATCCTCTTTTGTTTTGAATTTTGTATATTTGACTGGAAACTGTTAAAAATGAGAATGGCAAACCTCAGCGCACAAATGCATCAGATGTAATATTTTTAGGCGACATCCGACATTAGCACGTTTGAGAACTTTTAATCATGTTGTATAAGTTTGCTTCTCAGTTCAGGATCAACAAAAACAAGCATTTGGAATTCACTAAACTTTAAAAAAATTGCAAATTACACGTTTATTTTGAGATTTATGTTTCAAAACGGGAACAGGAAGTATGACCAAAACATGGCCACTGGTTCTTAGAGAGAGACAGGCGCTATTTGACACTTAACGCAATTAAATAAGTGAAATGAAGGAACAATTCATCAAGTTTATCTGCTTTGTCCTTGTACATATTAACAGATAACAGATGTGTTGTACCCATCTCTGTATAATATACCTGTAAATGTGTACGTATTCACAGATATGTATATTCCTGAGGACCTATATCCAGATTATTCTATTCCCACAATATTATCTTATTATTATCATTCTTATTTTCAGATTGTTACGGTATTGTTATTTTTATTGTGGAATACTATGCTACTGTGACAACGCAATTTCCCTTCAAAAAAGTTTGTCTAATTCTAAAAAGTGACTTAAATACAGCCCTGAATATGGAGTTTATCCATTATCACAGCGTTAGAAGGGCTCTGGATTGGCTTTGGCGACTCCTGAGCATATTTTGAGAACAGCAGGAGTAAATAACGACAACCAGAAATGAGTAAGTTTGTCATTTCGACCTTAAAAGTTGCCAGGACTAATTTCAAGGCAATCTGATCCTGACGTCACAGTCTGAGAGAGGAGGTGTGTTGTCCCTGATATTAGCGGACTTTAAATCTACTGTTTCTGGGGACGGTGCTAAAACATGATTAAAAGCTCAAACTCCAAAAGGGTGGTGCATGAAATGGTTCTTTAAACGTCAAAATAAAGATGGGAGTCTCGCCTTGAGTGAACCCATCCCTCCGCCGCCGCCGCCGTCACATCGCTCGCTCACAAACTGTCAGACGTCAAAGCTCCTCAGAGAATGAAGAAAAGTGAAAGAACATGCAGAGAAACCAGTCCCAAACACAGCAGTCCATCCACCTCAAACTGCAAAGTCTACAGCCGCTCGCTTCTTATTTATACCCGTACAAAGTAGTCCGTACGATAGATAGATTTGCTTATGTGACCGATAATATACAGATATATATAACTAGTTAATAGAAAGAATTAGGACTCGGCGATTAAGCCAAAGAGAGGCAACACATTGGCAAAAAACGTGGCTTGGGATAAAAATAAAATGGCTTTGAATGAGGCTAGAAAATCGCATGTAACTAAAACTAAATTGGAGCTTTTTGAATTCAAGCAATTTGAAATCCTCCAGAATCAGAGAAGTCGACTCTCGGAGCTCTGTGAAAATAAGTCCCAGAGAAGATGGTCCTCCACAGTTCCCCAGAACAGTCCCAAATGTGTGTTTGAGAGAGAAGAAAGAGCTCGGAGCTGCTCTCTCTGCACCAGCTCCAGTCGCCCTCGCTCTCCTCCAACACCAGGGGGAGGGGCTGGTCGCTATGGACACACACCCCTTCACTATTACACTACAACCACTGGTTTTCGCACAAACGATTTAAATGGCTTTGTTAGTTTGGTTTGTCTCGCACGGAGCTGAAATAGCAACCCGCAATCACAAACCAGCGACAGAGGAGATTTCAACCATGAACAAGAGACACATGGTTCAAGTTTAGCTTTGTCTGTGAGAGAATGTAATGTTGGAAAAGATACGATTCTCTTTTATTGTTTCCCAGAGATACACACAGGCTCAGAGAGTACCATCAAAGACCTCTAGGACCAGTACAAGAGCACCATCAGAGACCTAGGACCAGTACAAGAGCACCATCAGAGACCTCTAGGACCAGTAGAAGAGCATCATCAGAGTTTGTTTGTATGTATTGTTTGTATGTTTGGTATGTTCATATCGCTGCATATTTCCATGTTCTTCCAAAAGTAAGTTAAAGCCTCACATAGCCTTTAGAAACAGAATATCTACATGACCACTTTCTATACAGCGCCCTGGCTCCACACACGGGCTCCTCCTCTTGCGTCACATGACCCTGAGAAGACTCTGGTGCCTAAAGACTCTGGTGCTTTTCACAGACCAGAGTCACAAAGCACTTTACAATTGTGTGCATTTGTCTCTCACTCCACAAAGAGATGGGAGAGATGGTAGGGGAAACCGCAGCACCCAGAGCACCACGCAGACACGGGGAGAACAATCAAACTCCACTCAGAAAGGTCCTGTTCCGACCTTGATTCGAGCCCAGGACCTTCTTGCTGAGAAGCGAAAGTGCTATCCACTCAGCCACCGTGCCGCCCAACTTGTTTGACAGTCAAACATTGTAAGTGACGGTTGTTTGATTCTCTAGTCTGTTGTTGGCATATTGACAGTTCTATTGACAGACTCCTGCTGTGAGCGATACATCACTGTCACGAACACAAATATAAACAAATACTTTTGCGTGTAACTTTTAGAAGGATTTATGTATTTATCTATCTATATATCTTTCCATCCAGCTATCTACCTCTCTCTCTCTCTCTATCTATCATTACTCTCTCTCTATCTATCTATCAAAACTCTTTCTCTCTATCTATCAATACTCTCTCTCTATATATAAATATACTCTCTCTATCTACACTCTTGCTCTCTATCTTTCTATACTCTTTCTCTCGCTCTCTCTCTATCTCTGTCTCTCTCGCTCTATACTCTCTCTCGTCTCTCTCTCTGTGTCTCTCTCTCCATACGTATATCGACACCTGTGATTTATCTTGATGACACTTCTTCCATAAACTCATATTTTGTAGGTTATTATTTATCATTGAAGTCTTCTGACACATTGGTGTAAAGACGGATCTCGGAGATGAGCTGTATTTTAGCAGAGAGCAGTTTCCATGACGACCACAGGAGCTGCTTCAGAGAACTTTTTATAAGCATCAGTCGGAGAAATGTCCCCAGGAAGAGTTAGGGACCATGGGGTCCCTCACACCAGGACTGGGTAGTACCATGCGGGTCTTCACACCAGGACTGGGTAGTACCATGGGGGTATTCACACCATGACTGGGCAGTACCATGGGGCCCCTCACACCAGGACTGGGCAGTACCATTGGGGTCTTCACACCAGGACAGGGCAGTACCATGGGGGTCTTCACACCAGGACTGGGCAGTACCATGGGGGTCTTCACACCAGGACTGGGCAGTACCATGGGGCCCCTCACACCAGGACTGGGCAGTACCATGAGGGTCCACACACCAGGACTGGGCAGTACCATGAGGGTCCACACACCAGGACTGGGCAGTACCATGGGGGTCTTCACACCAGGACTAGGCAGTACCATGGGGGTCTTCACACCAGGACAGCCCTTTCATTCAAAACAAAGACGTGGAGACACTTGACTACAAAAGTGTTGAAATAGTTCAAAATTAGATGAAAATATGTGACAGACAGACAGGAAGGCGTGGCAGTCCAGGAATAATGTATTTTCAGTTTACAGTAATGCATAGTGTTATATTGTTTACATTTGTCACAGTACAGTAAGTGACTAGGTTTTTTTGCACAATGCTGCAGAATAGCAAAAAGCAGAATGCAGTAAATATGTGAAATACATACACACACACACACACACATACAGACACACACCCACGCATGCACACACACACGCGCACACACACACACATATACACACACATATACACCCACACACACACACATGTACACACACACCCACACACACGCACACACACACACACACACAGACACATACATACATGTGTGTCTAGTATTCAGTTATCTCACTAAATACAGTCATGTGTAGCTTTACTGTAGTTTTTGGCGGTACAGTGAATAGTTCTGTGTTGAATATGTTCAGGTGTAGTCTCCCAGATCTGACTTTTTGGAAAACACATGAATGAATGAATGAATGAAATGTTTTTATTTCAAGTTCAATATACACAACTGAGATTTACAATACACATTTATTTTAAATAACTAAGTATCAACTCAAAAAAGGAGTGAGAAGAAGTAAAACTTATATACACCCACCCCTGTAGGCTATATCTCGTAGTCATCAGTAGATTTTTCTGCTTTTTGCAAATTAGCAAACGTACTTCACCTTAACCTATGCTAGAAGATACAAATAATAATAATGATAATAAAATAAATAATGATACATTTATAGTCTCTCTCTCTGTCTATACATCTATATCAAAAATACACATATATACACTATACATATACATACACACATATACACAGATACATACATACATACATACATACATATACATAAACACATGTACATACATACATATACATGTCTACGCCTATAAACATATTAACACATTTACACTTATCAGCATATACACTATAGGCATGTGAACACATCTACATGTTTTCTGTTTTGATTATCTAAATATATATAGTTTTTATTTTTTATTTTTTTAGTAAAGTGTCTCAATGAAAACATGACACAACCATGTGACTGTTGTTCATAAACACTGGTGTCAGGACTTATTATTTAGAGTCACAGACCGTTTCATTGACATTGATACTTGCTTTTGAGTGATCAACTTTTCACTTTGAGAAAGTGACTTTTGCAGGTTTTTCAGTTTGTACTAATTATTCTGAGAAATTGTTGTGCAAATGTTAATAGTGATAGTGCAATAATGGGATTCGTGCAATAATGGGATTTGTGCAATAACGGGATGTGTGCAATAACGGGATGTGTGCAATAACGGGATGTGTGCAATAACGGGATATGTACAATAACGGGATGTGTGCAATAACGGGATGTGTGCAATAACGGGATGTGTGCAATAACGGGATGTGTGCAATAACGAGATGTGTACAATAACGGGATGTGTGCAATAATGGGATGTGTGCAATAACGGGATGTGTGCAATAATGGGATGTGTGCAATGATGGGATGTGTGCAATAACGGGATGTGTACAATAATGGCTGTGTGCAATAACGGGATGTGTGCAATAATGGAATGTGTGCAATAACGGGATGTGTGCAATAATGGGATGTGTGCAATAATGGGATGTGTGCAATAACGGGATGTGTGCAATAACGGGATGTGTGCAATAATGGGATGTGTGCAATAATGGGATGTGTGCAATAATGGGATGTGTGCAATAACGAGATGTGTGCAATAACGGGATGTGTGCAATAATTGGATGTGTGCAATAACGGGATGTGTGCAATAATAAGATGTGTGCAATAACGAGATGTGTACAATAACGGGATGTGTGCAATAACGGGATGTGTGCACTAATGGGATGTGTGCAATAACGGGATGTGTGCAATAACGGGATGTGTGCAATAACGGGATGTGTGCAATAACGGGATGTGTGCAATAACGAGATGTGTGCAATAACGGGATGTGTGCAATAATGGGATGTGTGCAATGATGGGATGTGTGCAATGATGGGATGTGTGCAATGATGGGATGTGTGCAATAACGGGATGTGTACAATAATGGGATGTGTGCAATAACGGGATGTGTGCAATAATGGGATGTGTGCAATAACGGGATGTGTGCAATAATGGGATGTGTGCAATAATGGGATGTGTGCAATAATGGGATGTGTGCAATAATGGGATGTGTGCAATAATGAGATGTGTGCAATAACGGGATGTGTGCAATAATTGGATGTGTGCAAAAACGGGATGTGTGCAATAACGGGATGTGTGCAATAATAAGATGTGTGCAATAACGAGATGTGTGCAATAATAAGATGTGTGCAATAACGAGATGTGTACAATAACGGGATGTGTGCAATAACGGGATGTGTGCAATAATGGGATGTGTGCAATAATGGGATGTGTGCAATAATGAGATGTGTGCAATAACGGGGTGCATGCAATAATGGGATGTGTGCAATAACGGGATGTGTGCAATAACGGGATGTGTGCAATAATGGGATGTGTGCAATAATGGGATGTGTGCAATAATGGGATGTGTGCAATAACGAGATGTGTGCAATAACGGGATGTGTGCAATAATGGGATGTGTGCAATAATAAGATGTGTTCAATAACGAGATGTGTACAATAACGGGATGTGTGCAATAATGGGATGTGTGCAATAACGGGATGTGTGCAATAATGGGATGTGTGCAATAACGAGATGTGTGCAATAACGGGATGTGTGCAATAATGGGATGTGTGCAATAACGGGGTGTGTGCAATGATGTGGACTCTAACATTGTGGATTTGGTGGACTGTTAAAGTGTGGCCTGTGCGAGAAGGCATTCTGTTTTTTTTTTCCTTCTTCATTTGTTTCTGTTGTTGTTGCTGTATTTAACCCGTGTGACCCTGACCCCATGAGACAGATGGAAATTAGCTTTTGGCTATAATCTGGTTTGTTTACATTCATGTTTCTAATGTGTCTGTTCATTGAGTACTGTCCCATTCAAGTATATTAATAAATAAAATATATGAATGTGAGAAATGCCCCAAAGCGACTCAGAAAAAAACGGTGTGCTCCTCATTCCAACTATACTGGTGATGCAACACTGACATTTCATTCTGGGACGAATAAGGGATCTCTTCATCTTGATCATAGCAGACCAGAGATAAAAGCAGGTGTGCGATAAGTACGAGACAGAAAGAAGGCGTGATATGTTTCATGTGTGTCATAAACCAAAACGATGATTTTTCATATGAAACCATGTGAAGTGAATAAAACATATAGTGTAAGTGTTACTTTGACAACACTGTACTCTGCTCCACGCTGTAGCATCACGTCTGTAATTATCGCCATGGTTACAGCAGTCATCAGGGCAGCTGCATTGTGCTGCGGTCGTCCCACTCCTCTGCTTCAATCTCTCACCGCACTTTTCTGCTCAGGATTTCACTGCACTTTCACTAAACCTAATCTTAATCCTAACCCGAATCCTAAACTCCCTACTCCACTGCTGAGTCAGACCAGGTCTTTCTGTGTGCAATTTGCATGTTCTACCTGTGTCTGCGTGGGTAGTTCAGGGTGAATGAGTGAGCAGCACATTCACGGAGCTTCACTCAGGTGTTATTGGCAAACACTCCACCAACAAGAAACTGTATAAGTCATCCATAAAAACGATAAAGATCCCAGAAGTTTGTCTACATACAGGACCAGTCTTTTGAGAGTAGATGGTAAAATCCTGGTTAAAAATATTACGTAATTGACTGGAAACTGTGCTACCCACAAAATGTATTGCATTGTGTAAAGCAAGGAGTATACAGTGACCCCCGAGTATAGACCCACCTTCAGAGAGGATGTTTACTGTATGTATCTCCATGTTCCTCTTAAGTTTAACTTTAAGATTAAGTTTATTTAATTCATACTAGCATCATTTACACTTTTAAATTGTAAAAACGAATAAGTGCCGTGGCAGACCCCGGTACGTCCCTTGTTAGTCTTTGCAGATGTTCATGTGGGATTAAGGGTACTGCTTTTGAAGCCGTGATGGAGATCAGACAGTCCAAATCTTCCTGTGACTTGAGTGGGATCACCAACATTTACATGTGAACTTTTTACAGGACCACTCATCACCACAGACTTTTCTCCATGGGGTCTAATCCGCATGCAACCTGCACTTGGAGCCGTGATGAGAGACTGGTCAGAACACTGGTCACTCCCTCTGCTGTGATGGACAGAGCTCGGTCTGTCTCCCTCCTGTCGTGGCTGCTCCCTGATCTCTCCTCTTCTTCTTCTGAATCACTTCAAGCGGCTCACACTCAACAAATCAAAGGGTTCTCTTGGCAGGGCTTTGGGTCGCCAAAGGGTGATTGTAACATGACGGAGCTCCCTACCTCACAGTAAGTGGTTAATGACTCTTATGGATATATTTTTCTTGGATTAGAGTTGTCCACAGCATGTTTCCATCTGACTAAAGAGGCGACCCTTGTGTCATGTTCACCGAGTTCCTGAGTTTGTGTGGGTCTATGTTCTGTTCACACAAAAATAATGCTTTTAATGCATCTTGTTTTGTAAACACGTCACATCATCTCAGCCTCAAACACTGTAAGTCCACACTACTCTTTAGCTTGGGGAAAACACATAAATATATATAAAACCCACTACACATGTACACAGGGCTCGGTAAGGTACAGATGTGTGTCACTTTATGGTGGTTGTGTTGGCACCATTGCAAGTCCCTGTGTATAATCTAGAATAGATTGAAAGGATGCAGCATTGGCCTTTCAGCCTAAAGGTCGTGGGTTCGAGTCCACCACAAGGCTTTCTCCACTGATTCCCACTGATGTCATTGTGTCCTTGGGCAGGTGTAGGCGAAAGCCAGAGCCTGTCAGACCTCTAAAGCTAAGCAGGGCAGGGCCTGGTCAGTACTGAGATTGGAGACCTCTCTAGGAACAGCAGTGACACAGTGGGGCAGCTGCAGCTGTAAAGTGTGTCCTTAGGCAAGACACTTCACCCCCATTGCCTAGAATCAGTCTGTTGTGTGTGTGAATGGTTGGCGGTGGTCAGAGGGGCCGATGGCACCGACTGGTTGCCTCGCTTCTGTCAGTGTGCCCCAGGGCAGCTGTGGCTACAGCAGTAGTTTATCACCACGGTGTATGGAGTGAATATGTTTGATGTCCAAAAGAACATTGTATAAAACCTATGCATTATTAGATTTTTTTTCTTGTATTTGTTACTAACTCTTTCTCTAGCTCTTCAGTCTCTTCCTGTGACCTTGTCTATTCTCTCCTGCAGTTCCTTTTCACTGCTCACAGCTGCTGTTGAGTTGGTCCTTGGCAGCCGCCTCTGGTCCACTCCTCTCCAGAACCCTGTCTTAAACCTCTCTTGCTTTGTCTCTGCATCTCTGCCGTTGTCTTTGGACTGTTGGCAGTTTGCAGTTTGAAATGATGCTGGGAGACGGTTATATCACAGCGGCCCACGGAATCGTCAGTCAGAGGTCTGCGCAGTTACATAACGGCCGCATTAACATCAGGACGAAGCAAAGGAGCGCAATTACAGTCAAGAGGAGGAGGAGGAGAATAGAGGGATTTTTGATACAGCTCTCACTTGAATCAGAGATGTTTGGGACACAACCTGCACAATGGACTTTACCGTCATTTACAAGTGTCTTATTTAGTGTCTTATTCTCTTCCACTTGCTTCACCACTGAGTCTCGCAGCACAAAACACTCACCGTTTCCTTTGTTCAGCCCATTCATCTTTCTAACAGTACATATTGTTGCTTATTAAGTTTGTGTAAGCTCTCAGTCGTACAGGGATTAGTCAAAGCAAAGGAAGGTTTCTCACCCATCATCTGTACTTCTTAGCGTCTTAACGTCGGGAAAACCTGCTAAGATGATGGGTGAGAAACCTTCCTTTGCTTTGTTGCTCATTATTAATTTTATTTTTATTTTTTTTGCTGCTACTGGACACATGAATTTCTCCTACAGGGATCAATAAAGTATCTATCTATCTATCTATCTATCCATCTACCCATCTATCTATCGACCTGTCTAAATACATTTATAAATACAAAACAGTTACTGATTACCACCTGAGCTAGACTTCCATCTGATTTCACAGCGAAAGAAGAAGGCTTAGTAAGTACGTAAGTCCTGTTTATGTTTATAGCACCTTTCACAGAGCACTTTAGATTTGTTGTGGGCATTTGTCTCTCCCTCGACACATGGAGCAGGTCGTCTACAGGAGGCACATGCCAGAACTATTGTACATGTTTGTAGTCTCTCAGTTTTGGTTTGTGGAGAGAGTTTTACAGGCCTCCCTCATCTTTAGAAGGTAAGTAAGTATATTTTATTTATAGAGCACCTTTCACAGATAAAAATCACAAAGTGCTGCACAAGGTTAAAGCAGAAATGTATATACAATAGAAATAAGAGAAAATAGAAAATAAGAACATAAAAACAAGAAATTAACTAAAAGCTGCCCTATAAAGAAGTGTCTTTAGTCCCTTTTTAAAAGCATCGGTAGAGTTGACCACACGGAGGGACAGAGGCAAAGCGTTCCACAGTCTCAACAATTTACAATATCAAGCGGTTTACAATATTTAACAATTGTAAACCGCTTTGTGACTCTGGTCTGTGAAAGGCGGTATATAAATAAAGCTTACTTACTTACTTACTTACTCTGGGCCACGGACTGGAAAAACAGGTCCCCCCGGGTCTTATAGCGGGTCTTCGGGACCGCAAATAAATTCTGGCCTGTGGACGTAAGAGTGCGGCCAGAACAGTGTGGGGTCAAGAGGTCCGAGATGTGAGATGGAGCTTGACAGTTAAAGCTCTGAAAGTTAAAACTAAAATTTAGAAATTAATACGTAATTTAATTGGGAGCCAATGAAGTGAGGACAGGACCGGGGTGATGTGAGACCACCGGGAGGTTCTTGTTAAAAGTCTGGCAGCGGAATTTTGCACAAATTGAAGTCTGTTAAGAGCACTCTTATTAATAATTATTAATTATTATTAAGTGGGTAAACTTGCACAACTAATAGCTGACTAAATACTTTTTTGCCCCATTGTCTACTGAGACAAGAGAGGTCTGTATGTATACTGAGACATGCGAGAACCGTTTCAGACAAAGTAATTTTTTTATACACTTTAGAAGCAATTTTGGTTAAACGGCATGGTGGCTGAGTGGTTAGCACTCTCTGAATGAATGAATGAATATATAGTGAGTGAATGAATGGTGTTGGAGCTTTGATGCCAGTGTCTTCAGCGTCTCTCTCGTCATCACCGTGTGAAGAGAATGGAACAATATCTGATTTCTGAACATTGTAGAGTGCTTTGCGTGACAGTGGTCTGTAAAATTGCGCTATAAAAATACAGATTACTTACTTACATACTTTTAAGCAATTTTGGTTAAACTTATGCTGGTCACTCTAACCATGCACAAGGCTGTGATTTCCACTTGATGTCTTTTTGTAACACCAATAAATTGTCTTCAATGCCTGAACAGGACCCCAGAACCCGCCTCGTTTGTTGTTCTCAATGACCCGTGGAGCAATGGAGAAAACTTCTGCAGAACGTTCCACTGAAGCACAAACTCTGTCACATGAGCAGGTCCCTCATTGGTCAGACACACGTTACATTTCTACAACCGATCACACCAAAACAGGCCACTCAGTTAAAGAGTCAGGAATAGGCAGGGAGGGGAGAAGAGCAAGGGGGGATCAGGAGAGGGGGTCAAGGATAAAGAGTCAGAAAGGGGGCAAAAGAAATCAATCCACAAGCAATCTGCATCTCAACTTCACCCAAACATCGTCTCAAATACCTTTGTGCGACAAAACAGAGCTGCCGAAATCATTTGTTAAATCACTCATTACGCTTAAAACAAGGGGTATGTTCATCAAACCTGGTGTTTATTTTAGTGGTTTACAGTTTTTTTCAGTCGCTTTGCTGATTTTCTCAGATCAAAATGTTGCCTTCAAGGGAAGACAGACAGGTATGTGACAGACAGACAGGAAGGCGTGGCAGTCCAGGAATAGTGTATGTTCAGTTTACAGTTATGTGTAAGTTATCTCACTGAATAGAGTCATGTACTACTTTATTACTGTGTGTGTGGTTCTGTTTTGAAAATGTTAAAGTAGTTTCACCGAGATCTGATCTTACTTTGAAAACACAGAGAGAGTAAAGTGTCAAAATGAAAACATGACAAAACCATTTTTCTGTTGTTCATAAACACCAGAGTCAGGAATGATTGTTTTGAGATGATGTGATGTGAGAAATGCACCAAAGTAGTTCCATCTCTGTGCAAAGATCTGTTTGTTTCTACGTTCATATTCTCTGCAAACACACCCAATATGAACATACCCCTTAATGTGCTTCCCCTGATACCCTGAGAGGGAGATCCTGATGAGACCCCTGATGAGACCCCTGATGAGCCCTCTGATGAGACCCCTTATGAGACCCCTGATGAGCCCTCTGATGAGACCCCGCATGAGACCCTGATGAGACCTCTGATGAGACCCCAGATGAGACTCCTGATGAGACCCCTGATGAGACCCTGATGAGACCTCTGATGAGACCCCGATGAGACCCTGATGAGACCCTGATGAGACCCTGATGAGACCTCTGATGAAATCCTGATGAGACCCCGATGAGACCCCTGATGAGACCCCAGATGAGACCCTGAGTGTGAGACCCCTGATGAAACCCAGATGAAACCTCTGCTGAGACCTTTAATAAGACCCCAGATGAAACCCCTGATGAGACCCCCGATGAGACTCCTGAATGTGAGACCCCTGATGAGACCCCTGATGGGACCCTTGAGACCCCTGATGAGACCTCTGACGAGACCCCTGATGAGACCTTTAATGAGACCCCAGATAAGACTCCTGATGAGACCCCTGATGAGACCCTGATGAGACCCTCTGATGAGACCCTCTGATGAGACCCTCTGATGAGACCCTGATGAGACCCTAATGAGACTCCTAATGGGACCCTTGAGACCCCTAATGAGACCTCTGACGAAACCCTGATGAGACCTTTAATGAGACCCCAGATGAGACCCCAGATGAGACTCCTGATGAGTCCCCTGATGAGACCTCTGATGAGACCCTCTGATGAGAACCCAGATGAGACCCCTGATGAGACCCTGAGTGTGAGACCCCTAATGAAACCCAGATGAAACCTCTGCTGAGACCTTTAATAAGACCCCAGATGAAACCCCTGATGAGACCCCCGATGAGACTCCTGAGTGTGGAACCCCTGATGAGACCCCTGATGGGACCCTTGAGACCCCTGATGAGACCTCTGACGAGACCCCTGATGAGACCTTTAATGAGACCCCAGATAAGACTCCTGATGAGACCCCTGATGAGACCCTGATGAGACCCTCTGATGAGACCCTGATGAGACCCTAATGAGACTCCTAATGGGACCCTTGAGACCCCTAATGAGACCTCTGACGAAACCCTGATGAGACCTTTAATGAGACCCCAGATGAGACTCCTGATGAGACCCCTGATGAGACCTCTGATGAGACCTTGATGAGACCCTCTGATGAGACCCTGATGAGACCCTGATAGACTCCTGATGAGACCCCAGATGAGACCCATGATGAGACCTCTGATGAGACCCCTGATGAGACCTCTAATGACACCACTGATGAGACCCCTGATGAGACCCCTGATGAGACTCCTGATGAGACCCCAGATGAGACTCCTGAGTGTGAGACCCCTGATGAGACCTCTGATGAAACCTTGATGAGACCCCAGATGAGACCCCTGATGAGACCTCTGATGAGACCCCTGAGGAGACCCTGATGAGACCTCGGATGAGACCCCTGATGAGACCCCCGATGAGACCCCTGATGAGACTCCTGATGAGACCCCAAATGAGACTCCTCACAAGACCTTTAATAAGACCTTTAGAAGCAATTTTAAAGGTCTCATTAAAATTGCTTTATCAGGATCTCATCAGGGTCTCCCAGATGAGATCCCTGATGAGACCTCTGATGAGACCCCTGATGAGACCCTGATGAGACCCTGATGAGACCTCTGATGAGACCCCTGATGAGACCCCTGATGAGACCCCTGATGTAAAGAAAGGTACTGAGCAAAGTAACCATTGTGTGATCGTAGCCGTTGGGGACGTAGCTGTGACCTTCAGGAACCATCAACACCACGACAAAAGCATCCACGAGTCTTTCCCAGAGCAGCAACACAAAGGCAAGTGTGTAGCAGCAGGTGTGTGGCAGCAGGTATGTGGCAGCAGGTGTGTGGCAGCAGGTGTGTGGCAGCAGGTGTGTGGCAGCAGGTGTGTAGCAGCAGGTGTGTAGCAAAGCAGACTCACCAATCTCGGGTTGAGGGCGCCCCTCTACCGGGACGCTTACGGTCCTCCGCAGAAGCTTGTTACGGTGGGTTTCTGATCGCCGCTCCCGCATCAGGAGCGGGTGAACCTGCAACACAACACACACATTGTCACATGGAGGAAACACATAACACATGCACACTGTCATAGGAGGAGACACACACACCGTCACATGGAGGAGACACACAACAAGACAAAACACACTGTCACATGGAGGAAACACACAACACATGCACACTGTCATAGGAGGAGACACGCAATACACAACACACACTATCCCAGGAGGAGACTCACAAAAACCCACGCACACATTGTCACATGGAGGAGACACAGAACACATGCACACTGTCATAGGGGGAGACACACAAAAACCCACACACACACTGTCACATGAAGGAGACACACACACTGTCACAGGAGGAGACACACAAAAACCCACACACACACTGTCACATGAAGGAGACACACACACTGTCACAGGAGGAGACACACACAAACCCACGCGCACACATCGTCACATGGAGGAGACAAACAAAACACACACACTGTCACAGGAGGAGACATACAACACACACACACACTGTCATAGGAGGAGACATACAACACACACACACACACTGTCATAGGAGGAGACAGACACACTGTCACAGGAGGAGACACACAAAAACCCACGCACACACTGTCACATGAATGAGACACACACACTGTCACAGGAGGAGACACACAAAAACCCACGCACACACTGTCACATGAAGGAGACACACACACTGTCACAGGAGGAGACACACAAAAACCCACGCACACACTGTCACATGGAGGAGACAAACAAAACACACACACTGTCACAGGAGGAGACATACAACACACACACACACACTGTCATAGGAGGAGACATACAACACACACACACACACACTGTCATAGGAGGAGACAAACAATACACAACACGCACTATACCAGGAGGAGACTCACAAAAATCCACGCACACACTGTCACATGGAGGAGACACAGAACACACAACACACACTATCACAGAAGGAGCAAGAGGATTTAGGTCCACAAGAGAGGTCTGAGTCTGTATGTATACTGAGACAGACTGAGTCTGTATGTATACTGAGACAGAGGTCTAAGTCTGTATGTATACTGAGACAGAGGACTGAGTCTGTATGTATACTGAGACAGAGGTCTGAGTCTGTATGTATACTGAGACAGAGGTCTGAGTCTGTATGTATATTGAGACAGAGGTCTGAGTCTGTACAGTATGTATACTGAGACAGAGGTCTGAGTCTGTATGTATACTGAGACAGAGGTCTGAGTCTGTATGTATACTGAGACAGAGTGAGTCTGTATGTATACTGAGACAGAGGTCTGAGTCTGTATGTATACTGAGACAGGTCTGAGTCTGTATGTATAATGAGACAGAGGTCTGAGTCTGTATGTATACTGAGACAGAGGTCTGAGTCTGTATGTATACTGAGACAGGTCTGAGTCTGTATGTATACTGAGACAGAAGTCTGAGTCTGTATGTATACTGAGACAGGTCTGAGTCTGTATGTATACTGAGACAGAGGACTGAGTCTCTTTGTACAGTCTATGGCAGAGACATCAGCAACTGGGACTGGAGCATTGGGACAGAAGGAGTAATGTGGAGAATGTGTTTTTCTAATCATGGTGAGAGGTTGTAACAACAACTGAAGGTCTGGGATGCTGAGGAGCCATGTTGAAGAGGGTAAAACGCACAAACAGGACATTTGAATATTGATGTCACACTGTATCTGAACACACTTCCAGGAGAGGAACAGCATAAGACAGAGTGACTGCTATGAATATGCATGGGTTGTCTGTCGCCATGGTGACGCCTCCCCTTCCCTGTGATTGGCTTATTTAGACATGGCTAGTGTCAGCTCTTTCTCTGAGCTCTTTCTCCTGAGTCCCAGCAGAAATAGATAGGTGTGTCAGGGACCCTCATCAATAATATGGAAGAGAATACAACTCTCCAACTCCCTCAACAGTCACTTTGACTGTGTTGTGTATTTCCTCAGCGTGTGATCCTTTGAGGTCTTTGTACGTTTGTGTTACACCTGTTTCTATGTCGTTATATTTCAGTTTTATCTTTGACTGAAATTCAAAATAAGTTTCCTTTCTAGTTAAAGCACTTTTTGTCCTGGTCCTGACTGGTCTGGTCCTGGTTCTAGTCCTCTTCTGGTCATGGTCCTGTTCTGGTCCTGGTCTGGTCCAGTTTGATTTTCCACCAGAGAAGAGTGAGTGCTGGTAACCATAGAAACACACTGTTTACCTGCAGCAGATAGCATCTGGTCTTTAGCGTTAGCATTTGGACAAACTTTTCTCTGTATTTCAATTATATTCTCCAGTTTCAGCACTTAGTGCAAGTATCTGTATAAGTACAAGTATCTGTATAAGTATCTGTATAAGTATCTGTATAAGTATATCTGTATAAGTATATCTGTATAAGTATATCTGTATAAGTATATCTGTATAAGTATATCTGTATAAGTACCTGTATCTGTTTAAGTATCAAGTATTAAGTATCTATATATGTAGCGTTATTCATATTGTACACAAGCACAAGGGAAACATCCCCATTTAGTGGCAGCAACATGACATTACATCCTTAAGTCCTGAAAAAAGAGAATAACAGAAGTTTCTGTTACAGTGCCTTCTGCTCTGTTACTGTTAGGTCTCCCATCACGGTACTAACCAGGCCCTGCCCAACTTAGGGGCAGACAGAGCTTCACTGGGCCAGTGAAGCTCTGTCTCTCTCTCTCTCTCTCTCTCTCTCTCTCTCTCTCTCTCTGATTTATAGCACTACATTAGTCAGAGCAGGGAGAGCTCTCATCACAGCTGCTGCTCCTGTATGAAGACACTGCCCTCTGCTGGAGAGAGTGTGCCATCACATCCAGAGAAAGGTGACCTCAAGTGACACTGACAAATACAAAAATCAGCAGAAATCTAGAATTTCTAAGAGTCAAAGCAACTGGAGAGAAATGTCTGGGTTTCATATTGATGAGTCGATGATTTGATGAAGATGGAGAGAAGACAAAGGCCAAGAAAAAGGACATGCACACTACCAGAGCTGGTGGAGTTTGTCGGTAATCAAATCACTCCCATCTCAACAGTTTGTGTCTGATCTCCATCTTGGCTCTAAATGTAATGGTACGTAAATGCTGTTCATAAACCAGATTGTAGTTTTGTGCCACAGTTGCACAAACACACACTCAATCCCCCTGAACCACATGGTTTTAGTGAGGGCAAACCGGTGCACCTGGAGGCAGGTGGATCATACATCTGTCAGGATATTATGCATGCTTACAGTAACAAGTCTAATTCTCTGTTTTGATACATTCAGAAATATTCGGGGAACAATATTCCCTTCATGGGAAGTTATCAGCAGAAAAACAACCTCTTCCAAGGGCAGTGTGTTGCTACTTTGTAGAACGGGGACAATAGTTCTGCAGAAATGATTCATCGTGGGGACACCACCGTCGAATGGCAGTGAAGAACAGAAGCACCGGTACTGATGAAGACTAGGAAGGCCCAGGGGTCAAGCACCTGTACCTGTTACTGCAGAATCAGCACTCTGTATCAGCAGCTCAGACGGAGGAAGACGACTTGGTCAGTTTTAGCCTTGTGTCACGTACAGTAACATAAACTTTAACTGTGATCTACGATAAAAGCTGCTGATACATTAACATTTCTCTCTTTCTGGTTTATTTGTTCAGTGCTTTTAACTTGGATGAGAGGAAACTAAACAAGGGTTAACTTTTTTTCCTCGACACATCTACGTTAAGTTCATTTTTACTATTGAAATTATTCATAAGTTTTAAGACAAAATTTGACAATCAGAATTCCAGCGTAGAGAGTAGAAGTCCTTGTTCAATGATAAACATCTGAAACCAGACTCGGCTTTGAACATCCTCCACAAAGATTCAAAGATGTGTCAATAATTCTTAATGATCTGAAAGCTCAGGTGAAAGTCTGGTGCAGAACACTGTTCTTCAGTGAAAGGTTCTCTAACTCTTTTAGTCCGTTTGTAGAGAGTCCACGGCCGTGATTCCACCACAACTTTCCCTTTCATATCATCAATTTCTGTAATAATATAGAGATTTTTAAAACAGCAACAGCATTATCATGTAGCATTATTAGCTCCTCTTAGCTAACTGAGCCAAAGAGAGCCCCAAGGAGTTCTCTGGGTTTAGGACAGACTTAAACAAGCATCAGTGCCCGAGGATCTCAGCAACAATCAAGTGTCAGTGATTCTGATCCTGAACACTTTAAACACAACACGTGTGTTCAGCAAAGGTTTGATCTGTAGAACACACTGTGGTGATGAGCGGCATGAGACCAAGGGATAAGTGGCAGAGTCTGAGTCCTGAGAGGAAAATGGTCTGTCCAGGGAAGGGACCAGAGAGGGACCAGAGAGAGACCAGAGAGAGACCAGAGAGAGTTAGAGATAGACCAGGAAGAGAGACCAGAGAGAGTTAAAGAGAGACCAGAAAGAAAGACCAGAGAGAGTTAGAGAGAAACTAGAGAGAAACCAGAAAGGCCAGAGAGAGACCAGAAAGGCCAGAGAGAGACCAGACAGACCTGAGAGAGAGACCAGAGAGAGACTAGAGAGTTACATAGAGCGGAGAGCTCCGTCTGTTGTGCACAATTGGATAAAGACTATTTTTTGTCTTTGTGCAAGAGATTAGAGAACCAGCAGATAAAGGAGAAGCACAAAAGGCCGGATAAAATTCAAACAAAATAGTAGTCTCACCTCTTCCTGGTCCAACATGTAGGCGTTTGTTGGGGGGATCACGTGCACGCGGGGGTTCCAGCGCTCGTGGCCTGGACGCTCTCTGGAGGGACGCTCGTAGGCAGGGCGGTGGTCAAAGGAGGGGCGGTGGTCGAAGGAGGGGCGGTGGTCAAAAGAGGGGCGATGATCGAAGGAGGGGCGGCTGGGAGGAGGGCGGCTGGGAGGAGGGCGGCTGGCAGAGGGGCGGCTGGGAGGATGGCGGTCGACGGATGGACGACTGGAGGACTGCACGTACGGAGCGCGGACAGAGTGGACGTGGGAGCGCTGCTGATGGTGGTAGTAGAAGGGGGGCGCGGCACACCTGGCATCTGCACACACGGAGAGGAACAGAGTCAGACAGGAGTGAAAGCATGAGTTTGTGAGGTCTATATCTGCATGAGAGTCAATAACATGTCAACACTGGTCCAAACTTAGGCCGAGAGGCAAGAAGAGCTGGACCTTCAGACCACTGGACACGCCCCTTTATCGAACCGCAGACATCAAAGACATGTTAGCGCTATATGACTCCAAGGAGCACAGGGACTTAACTCACTTTGCACTTGTAGATAAAGAGATAATCTCTAGTCCGAGTTCATCCACATGCAGCCTGATGTACTACCCACTAGATTTCTAAAGTCTGTTCTGAGTATGTTTCCTTCACTCACAATAGTGCCATTTCCCTTCATTCTGGAACATTCCCAAATACTCTGAACCCTGTGGACATCAGGCCCTCCTACAGAGCAGCCTGGGCCCACAGTACTTAACAACTATCGTCCGCGCAAATTCATTTCATATGTTCCTGTCTGGCTTTAGATCTCCTCACAGCCTCAGACCGCTCTCTCACAGAGACTAGAGGATTGGTTGGTCCTCACAGAGACTAGATGACTGGGTGGTCCTCATAGAGACCAGAGGACTGGGTGGTCCTCACAGAGACTAGAGGACTGGGTGGTCCTCACAGAGACTAGAAGACTGGGTGGTCCTCACAGAGATTAGAGGACCGTGTGGTCCTCACAGAGACTAGAAGACTGGGTGGTCCTCACAGAGACTAGAGCACTGAGTGGTCCTCAGAAAGAGACTATAGGACTGGGAAGGAGCACAGGGACTGGCCTCCTGCTGCTGCCCAGAGTCAGGACTAAACATGGGGAGGCAGTGTCTCAGATTTATGCTGCTGAAATCTGGAACAGTTAAAATCCAGGTTAAAAATGGTTCTGTTTTGCTGCTACAGCTGTTCACACTTATGAACTGTGTTATACAAATAAACTGGCCTCGTCTAATTCCAGTCATGTTGTTTGTGTGTGATGCTGTGCCTGCTGCTGCAGTCGAGTGTGGAGTCCTCTGTCCGTCACAAACTGACAGGCTTAATGCACATTTATTCACTTGAACGACTCCTAAAACAGAGCTAAGAATAGCAGCAGCGTCCAGTGGCCCCGGGCCCCAGGGGCCTCTGCACAGAACAGCGGGCCCTCGGAGTGCTGCTGTCCCTGCAGACGCTGCTGTCAACAGGACTGTGCAGTGTGTGCTTTTTGTACAAATATTCATTCTTATAACCTACATTTACAGTAGTTCAAAAATTTAAATGAACAGAAAATACATGTTTATAAACACACACACACAAACACACACACACGCACACACGCTTACACACGCACACACACACACACGCTTACACACGCACACACACACACACACAAACACAAACGCACACACGCTTACACACACACACGCACACACACACACACACACACACACGTTGAACACATGTAAAACGTTCAAATGGACTTGCTGTTGTTGATGGTATTGTTTGGTCTAAAAGCAGTGGTACATTTGTCCATTTTCAAACTACACATTTTAGAAATTACACCTTTTGATCTTCATGTTCCATCTGCAAACTTTAACTGTGAAGAGGACAACGACCTAAACACTTTTATCTTTTTAGATTGTTCTGATCTGTTTTTGTTTCGTTTTAGTTTGACAAACACCACATCAGAAAAACACACCTAGACTCACAAATATTGTACTTTATGACGGATCGACCCTGATGTTGTTTGTGAATATAGACATATATAGGTTTAACATTTCATTCATATCTGATGGAGCCTCAGCACGAAACGTTACACACTTTACATAATTAATCTTTCACCGAACACAGTGGTGACTACTGTAGCCACAGCTGCCCTGGGGCACACTGACAGAAGCGAGGCAACCAGTCTGCACCAACGCCCCCTCCCACCACCACCAACCATTCACACACACACCAGACTCATTCTAATGTGGATAAAGTGTCTTGCCTAAGGACACAGCAACAGGGACTTTACAGCCACAGCCGCTCCACTGTGGCACCTGGTGTTCCCAAAGGTCTCCCATCACAGTACTAACCAGGCCCTGCCCTGCCTAGCTTCAGAGGTCTGACAGGATAACATTCACACACCAAAGTTTAACATGAGTCTAACACATGTTTCACATTCAGTCCATAAAACCAGTATTTTTCTTATGTCGAGAAACTTAAAACAAATTTTAAAAAATCTAGTTTTGGAGTTACTGTATGTCAGTATTATTTTTATGCAAAAAAGTATTTTCAGAAACACAAAAGCATAAAAGAAGGAGCACTGTCTTTGACAGTTATAACTCTCAGTCATTCACCAGACTGCCAAGGAAAGAATACTTTAGTTTGATAAATGACCTGATCTCTCCAAACGTCTCGGGCACTTGACAGTCGTGTGAAGGCGACTTGTAAACAAGACCTGTTCAGACGCAGCACCCGCTGCACAGAGGCTCTACTCAGTAGAGTCTACTGAGTTTTATCATGGATCTATTATAACATAGTTTTACCATGGATCTATTATAACATATAGTTTTACCATGGATCTATTATAACATAGTTTTACCATGGATCTATCATAATATAGTTTTACCATGGATCTATTATAATATAGAAGACACACATGGAGGATTAACGTCTGCGGGAGCTTAAAACTACGATGATCAAAGAGGCAGAAGCAGGACATACAGAGCCGCGTCAGGACATGGCAAAGCTCATGTTAGCATTAGCATTAGCATCAGCCACAGCGCCCTATCTGCATCACGGTAAGAAAACAAAACATTCACTCACGCTGCTAATAAAGTGTTCTGGCGACTGTTTTGTGGGGATTCTGTGTGTGTTTTATTTGATGCTTGTCCCTGAATACGTTTAGCTGAAACTTGTGACAGTAGTTGGACTGCGCTCGGATCGGTTCAGAACATCTTGAGACTGTGTTGCAGATTCTGCCTCATTCTTGTTATTGTCAGTGTGAAAAAGTTACGTTTGTTTTTTCATATTGAGCAGCTGTAAAAAACTACGCAGGGTGGCTTTAAAACTGAGATACCTAACTTTGTTTCTTCATAAATATTTTTTCAGCGAAAAGAAAGAGTCCTGTAAAGTTATCTCATTAGAATGAGTTCCCCCACGGAGCTGAGAGCTGATTGGTTGAATGAGGGCGGTGGTCTCTTTATATTTTCTGTCCAAGAATTTACAATGTGAGGCCAAAGATGGATGTATGTAAAAACTAGTGATAAAGCAGTGACAGAAAAAAACTTCCAGATCATATTTGAAAGTTAGGCTGCCCAGCTTTAAGCTCCACACCAAACCATCAACACACTCAATATCCAAGAACATGCAACCACTATCATAGTGTTTTATTCAGGGGAGGGAGTAATGGATCCATGTTATGTGTAATATTACAGTAGTTAGTATCATTGGCTTCCCTTAAAATGATCTTGAGTGAAGAAACTTCATCAAAATGGCGCCATGAAAGAAGCACGATTACAAATAGCATCATGCTGCTGTTAGCATGGACTGAGCCAAAAACAACTGGAGACCAATGCACATGATATATAATCTAATCTGCTTTGGGGAAAACTTAATTTTGCACCAAAATAACTGGATTTGAACAGAGCTTTAGGAGCCGGTCTGCAGCAGCAGCAGCAACAGCAGCAACAGCAGCAGCAGCATCAGCAGCATCGGCAGTAGCAGCAGCAGCAGCAGTAGCAGCAGCAGTAGCAGCAGCAGCAGTAGCAGCAGCAGTAGCAGCAGCAGCAGCAGCATCAGCAGCATCGGCAGTAGCAGCAGCAGCAGCAGTAGCAGCAGCAGCAGTAGCAGCAGCAGTAGCAGCAGCAGTGGCAGCATCAGCAGTAGCAGCAGCAGCAGCAGCATCAGCAGTAGCAGCATCACAGGAAGCAGGGCCCAGGACGTCACATCCGCACACCCACTCTCTCTCCTACACGCCCCCGCCTGTCGCTATGACGACGGAGGAGAGAGGAGAGTGGGTGAGTGTATATATTTGTGTGTGTGTGTGTGTGTGTGTGTGTGCGTGAGAGAGAGAGAGAAGAGAGAGAGAGCGAGAGAGAGAGGGGAAGCTAAAGCAGGAGGCACTTTTTTGGGGAACAGGAGCCCACGTCTTGTTCCCATAGCAACAGAGCTCTGTAAAAAATGTAGTCCCCTTCTCCCTGCTCTCCATCACTCACACACAGAGAGAGAGAGAGTGGTCAGACACAGGGAGGTGGCAGGAGAACGTAACAGGAAGTCAAAAACGTTGCTTTGGCTCAAGGTTCAAACAAAATGTCAGAGTAAGAAGTAAAGGCATAAAAACAAATCTTTATAAAATGTCTTAAAATGATACTTCGCACAAGTGCACTAAGTACACACTGGACATTTAGCAGTTAGTGACAGTAAAGAGACAGTAAAGTGTGGACCATGTGGACCAGGAGGACCATGAGAACCATGTGGACCATGTGGGCCATGAGGACCATGTGGAGCATGTGGACCATGTGGGCCATGAGGACCATGTGGAGCATGTGGATCATATGGACCATGTGGACCATGTGGAGCATGTGGCTCTGCTGGTGCTGAGGGTGTGAAGTGTGAGTGATGACAGAGTGCTTCCTCTGACTCCTACACTGTCTCCATGGCAACAGCTCAAAAGTACAGATACTAGTACAGATACTATAAAGGACATATACTATAAAGTACATATACTATAAAGGACATATACTATAAAGTACAGATACTATAAAGTGGGGATACTCTGAAAAAGTGAGTACTTACAGACGACTAAGGATGTGTCATGTGTGTGAGAACATTTACTTTAACCATTATATGTTTATGAAAGTGAAATGAATCCAAAACAGGAATGACAGGAATGTAGCGGTGGAAATGAAGCTACTGCAAAAGTTCATACTGGTGTCTTCTGCTCCCCCCATGGATCTATAATAACATCTGGATAGGGTATAGCTGTCTGCTGTCCCACCCATGGGCAAGGGGGCGCCCGTGGTACAGCAGACTAAATTCACGTGG